TGAGCTCAATCTTCTGAAACAAATAGACTGACAAAAGCTTCACCATCTACAGTACCTATTCCGTTGGATATTACGCCCTGGAAGATTAACATTGAACCTGAAAAACCATTGAAAACCACTGCTTGGTAGAGGAAAACAGTCGGACTCACGACCCGGGTCCATATTTAGTTTCGGGAGTGTACTCCTACTGCTGGCCAGTCTGACAAAGTCGGACGCCAAGGTACCACCGCGGCCTTGTTGCCGGCGGGTTCCCCAGCGCCTGCACGTGACAGTGACAGTGCCTTTTTCACACATGATGATTTCTCTCAGCTTGGAATTCCTTGCTTTGGGATGCTACTAACTTAGAACCTCTTAAAACCAAAATGACCCGACAAATACGGAGACATTGTCCAGGCGGGTACGATGTTTGTGCTTGCATAGTGGAACCAACATGCTGGAAAAGCAAACGCGTCGAGCGCGTCAGAAGTTCAGCTTACAAATTGAATCATGTTACTCCTGCTAGCCACTGTTTCTTGGGCCCACCATGGTCCGTAGATTACCTGCCCAACTGATCCGGACGGAAGGTCCCCTGCGCCAGTGTCCCCCAAGTCAGGGCGAAAGCCATGGGAACATGGTCCCCTAAGGGTCCCAATCCTGCAAAACACTCTGATGTGGACCCAACAAAATGTGGAAGTTGTTTGCAAGAGCTCAGTGAAAGAACTTTCAAAGATCAGGCCATCTGCTCTCTTCTCCCAAGTGGATTGGACGACGTCTCAACGATCAGATCGGCCTTTCGGGTAGTTGCTAGCAGAGAAAATCGTCGCTGCGATCATGTGCCTGGCGATCCGGTGTCGCCACAGGCAAGAGCGAACAGGAGCGAACACGGCCCACGCAGGTAGAGCCACATGGAAACCGGAAGGGGTTGCAAGGGTTCCATGCCAATCGCCGTGCGTCGTTCCAAATGGCAAGAAGTTTTCCACGTACTGATGGCTCTTGAAGCATCTGCTTAGCAACAAGAACGCATATCCCTCTCTTTTGCGACCTTTTGGAACCAACTTCATGCACATGCTGCATGCTCAGCACCATGGTAAAATTCACCCTGCTCACACCTTGTCAAAACAAACAACGTCAATTTGACTACCTCCCGATACGCCACAGTGTCCAGTTCCCTTTGTCCGATCAGGCTCTATGGAACGAATATATCTTTAGGATACCAGGAAAACATGTTGCTCTGTTGAACGGAAAGTTGCCATGCCCGGACCATGGTTTGGCAACTTAAGACCCATCTCTCATCCCCACGAGTCCCGCAACGCGCCGGACCCTTTGGAGTTGGCATGCTCCACGGAGAATCCTGCACAGTCGCATCCAAACAAAAGACAAAAACATCAAGCATCTTGGAGGTCTTATGAGGAAATTCCAACATGCATCTTCTGGAAGAGATTCTGCAGCTGTTTGGATCCTCCAAGTCAAACTGTATTTGCTGTGGTGGCCCGGAAAATACTTCAGGGCGCCACATGAAGCAAACAAATCATGGCCATCGTGCCGGGTTCACTGGTCCATTTGGACTTGAAGGTAGTAGCGTCCTTGCTCCTAGTAGCGATGCCAGGAGCCCCTAGTAGCTTCTTGTTCCTAGTAGTAAGGCCAGGAGCCCCTAGTAGCGTCCTTGCTCCTAGTAGCTCATCTGGGAATATATTATTCCAGACCGGTTCCATGTGAAGACAACGCTAGTTTTCCTTGGGTGGGTATTTCAACCACTATAGCCTATAGCCACCACACCCAGCACTACTGCGCGTAGACAGTGTAGGCTGAGCCTTCTTGTCGTTTCTCATGAGATCGCAGAAGGACCTTCAGCTTGTTGACCTTCAGAAATTCCTGTCATTGGCACCATCTGCACAGCTTCACGAAAAAACGTTGGTCAACTTCCTGACTCCCGCCATGCGGAGCCTGCTATTCTGCCCGGCGGGTCCTTAAACAAGAGTCCTTCCTGAGTTTCAACATGAACGCAGCGATTCCCACCACAGCCTGGGTGACCTTGCTATCGAAGAAGGCTCCGGCTCCACGCTTGCTGGGGCCCCGCAGGCCGGGCTTGGCCACAGGATCCTCGGATCTGACCGGGAGGAGCCTATGTGCTGATGGACACTAAGAAATGATTGAAACACTAACTGTCCATCGACCTCACCTGACAGAAAACCCTCCTTCTTGGAGGACGCTGCAAGAAACGGATTTGCCGCAGGCGACGTTTCACATGTGACGCCTTGTGGCAAGTGAAGCTTTCAGGTTCGGGTGGAGCTGGCGGAGCTACCGAACAATGATTTGATCGATTGATTCATATGATAGATTTCTTTGATTGGTTGGACGTCCTTGGTGAATCATGATCTGGCAGGGAAGGACCTTGCGACGTTTACCGGACATGTGGCCATATTCCACTTAAGCCAGGTGGCACTCCACAAGAGAGACACAAAGATTCGGTGCTGTCTCTGTCGCAGGCGTTCTTTCCTCAGCCAAGAGAACTGGCTCTTCGGTGCTGCATGTTACTGTTGGGTCAACATGGCAGTTTAGGCATCTCTCGAAGCACATAGGCATCTCTAGAAGCACATGATTCGCCAAACATGTTCTTTTTTTCTGCAGATTCCTGTTTCAGGACATGACTGCAGATTCAGGACATGGCAGCTGCAAGAACACTAATAGCTACCAACCCAGCCCGCTTCGTTATATTCTCCCATATGCTCCAAGTGCATTTCATTCTCCAAGGAAACTTCTGAAAGCAGAATGTTCCTTGAGATGACTGGGCTCCATCAGTCAATCAATTTCAGGGCTTTGCCGGATGCCAAAGCAGCCAAGGAACTCTGAGCTGTAGATGATGTCCTGGGAGTGAGAGGGAAAACGCATCATTTAGCAACAAAAGCAGGTACAGTATATAAATTTGATGACGATTTGCGTATTGAACATGTTCCCAGTGATGTTGATTCTATGACAATATCTGAGGTTCTAAGAGGTCCAAACACAGCATGGACTCAAAAGAAGAACTGCAAGAGCTGCGTGGAAACACAATCTGCACACCCCATTGAATCCATTGCACTTTTTTTGAAGGCAAACGCATTCCCGATGACCCAAACCAGGCGCACTAAAAGAACAACACCATCGGATCAACAGGCAAGGGCTTCTAGACCTTCCAAATGCAGCCCCACCCACCCAACCACAGGCCAAACAACCGAATGGACTCTCCAATGTTGTTTGGAGGCTTTCATTGACTATTGTATACTATAGTCACTATATGTCACTATAGTCAAGCATCAGCCAAGCCACTCAGCAATATCGCAGCCGAAAAAATGCGTATTGGCGTAGCGGCTTAGCGTATCCAGTAGTAAAATCCAAGCATCGATTTCTTCTTCTAATTCCGGTGCTCCAAAGATTCGCCTGGGTCAACGCAGTATACACGCAGTCACGCAGGAAGTGCCGTCAGGTCGTAGAGCCCGATTCGCATCATCAAAGCTGTCAGGTCTCTTCGTCACTGAGCAATGGACAAAAGGGATAGAGTTGCTCACACTATCCTGATCATTACAAAGGCCTATGACAGACCAATGGCATACAGCATTTTCTGTTTCCCCACCACAGCAAACACTGTTGCTTTCCTTGAAACATCTTGAAATTGCCCCAGTCTCAATAGTGCACAATGGAATCAACAAATCGAGCTCTCACTTATCACCAATCAGAAAGAGCACCAATGAGCACCATAGCATTTGTATAGAGATGTGTAGAGCATTTACCACACGTTACCGCCTTCTCCGTAGAGCTTCGCCTCCAACAACTATGTAGTCAAAAGAAGGCAACACGATGTGCTCCAACTCTTCGAAGGGAAGAGTTGTGTGATGAGTTCCCAAGGGGGTGGCCAACGGAGGATGAAGGGGTCCATTCTCCACTTATAACTTAGGCACTAAAGCCCACCGCTTTGGAACAACCCTTTTGGAACTCTTGGCGTCGCGGCGATGCAATTTTTATCAATTTCTGCTCAGAATGCAGCACCAAACACCAAACCAAACACACGTCGAAACACCCGAACCATCACGGGTTCTGAGACGACATCTCGTGAAGCTGCCAAGCATGATCAGCTGACAGATTGAAGATTCAGGAACAAATTTCCTTGCAAAAAAAGAGGGCAACAAAAACAAGGTCATGGTGGCTTGGAAAGGCCCCCAGGCCCCTGCTTCTCTAATTGTGCGAATGATGAACTTTGCGATGTGAACTTCCCTGACGCATCCTCCGCAAGAATTGTGCCGGCAGACACCACCACTTCGTCTTGCGCTCCCCCGGAAAAGCGCACGATGGCCTCGGTGAAGACTCGGTAAATCCCAAGTCCTGGAGATTTGGAGAATGGGCACAAATCTTTATATTGATATCATAGGTACTGACCCTAGAGATATGGATGCCCTGCCATTTAAACGTCAAACCGCCTAATATGATATATATATATATATAGTAATATCAATTATTGAATTATATTGATGTGTTTCGCGGCACCGAGTCAATAAAGCTGAAACAAGCTGATGCATGCTTGAATCTTGTCTGCGTTTCTATACTTCAGTTTCTCAACTAATTATATAAGGTCTTGGTCTAACTATAGACTATAGATGACTATAGTTAGACCAAGACGGCGCCGCTGCTGGCTAACATGAAGAGCAAAACATCAACGGCGCAGAACATACAACACATCAACACTGAAAACTAAGATACGTAGGAAAATAGCACCTGGAAGACTGAAAAGGGACGGCTTTTCCACCGCCTGGTGCTTTTCCAGGGTGTCTTCCCCCACCTCCCCCCCCATGGTGAACTGTATATCACTCGAGCTTCTAGTCCCCGACCTATCCCAATTGTGAGCGCCCGGGCATCATTGGACTTCCGTACTCGTTCAAACAAACGGCCTAGTCAAAAGCACGGCCAACACATGCAATGGACATGCAAAACACAGCAAAATACAGTATGCAAAGGGACAAAAGCAGGCAGCTGCTAAAGTCTAAAGTTCATTTTCACATGCCCCCGCAGTCGAGCCTCTTCGGGCTCCAAGTAGCATGATTGTCACAAACACATCACAGATCATCACAGCATTCTACCGTTACAGAAATGGGCAGCACATGGCTCCCAGAAGAAGGAAAATCATGGATCTTCTTACCCCCTAACAGCAACACCAGGAGGATTTGGGTGAAACTGCTGGATCCAACACGACGAGCTCAGCTTGTGCTTGCTTGAGTGGCTGCACCAATCCTGCCCGTTGCATTGAAACCATGACATCACTTGACATGAACTTCTCATCCTGGAGCAAATTGCGAGCCGAGTAGAATGGATGGCCTCCATCGCCACCGTCCACGGCACCCCTGAACTTGTTGCTGTTGGGGATGCAGTCATGAAAGCCGAACTGCCGAGTGAGATCGAACTTCTGACTGCTTGAAAGCTGCACTTCTTGCTTGAAATCCATGTCTTTGAGCACAGTGGCCATGATATTCAGCATCTCCATCCAATTCATTTTGCACTGCTCTTCATGCACTTCCATGGCCACACAAAGCGAAGCTGCACACAGCCCCGAGGGCATGCCATCCCTCTGAGGGAGATTCTCCGGTCTTCCAAGTCCAAGGATAGGAACTGACGTGGAGGTCTGATCGTCCGCGCAGCCAGAGATGCAAATCACATCTGCATCTGAATAGTAGCCTCCTTTGTCCAGCTTCCATCCCTTCTCCGTCATGTAGGGGCTCCAGCGGTAAGCCAAGTCCAAGCCACTGCCACTGTGACAGCAGTCCAGAATGCAGGTCAGCCTCACCCTTTCCGGCAAAGGTTGCACCAAGAGTTCATTGATCTCATCATCGACCAGAACCCCATTCTCATCAACATCACAAGGCACCAATGCCTCATCGAAGCCATCCTTCTCACGGTCGTGGAGATTGGGTTTCTGAGATCCATGTCCACTGTAGAAGAAAAGGAGGCTGTCACCTGCCACTGCGTCATGCGCCAGCCAACTCAAAGCAGCTCGGATGTTGCTCTTGGTCGGCTTCGTCTCCGGCTTGCTTCCCGCCCCGTCCTTCAGCAGCTTGGTGTGCTCCGGAGAATCCACGAAGCCCCACTTGTCACAAAGGTAGACCTTCATCTGCTCGGCATCGCGGTCGCTCTGAGGCAGCACATGGGGGGTCCCCTTGTAGCAAATGCCCACGAAGAGCGCCTTCCGTGTGGGCTCTCGCTTGGGCTTCCAGCCGGTCGTCAACGTACAGGCCACCCGGATGGCCGCGGTGTCCTTGACACCAGGGGCCTCGGGCTTCACCACATAGTCATCCACTGCATGCACACCCGGCTGCAAGTCGGGCCACTCCACAGTCACGGAGGCAATGCGCAGCGGCGAGCGGCCCTGGCGCGTCATGACTTCGAAGTGCAGTTTCAAGGCCTTGTCGTCATGATCCAACTCGAACTTGTTCTTCTCCCACTTGGGGCTGGTCGCGGAAGTGTGCGTGTCCGTGCTGTAGGTCTGGCCTTGATGAGTGAACTGCGTGAAGCAGTTTGGATTCTCGATGAAGAAGTGCCTTCCACACAGAACTTCCACCACGACAGGCATGGTGAAGGCTGTGCTATGGCTTTGCTGCCCTTGTAACAGGACTTGAGACGGCAATGAATGCTTGCAACAGGAATGCTTCATGAAAGCAGCATCTGCTATTGCATGTTCTGCCATGATGGCTTTGACATCCATCGACCGCTTTCACAATCAAATGTTTCTCACAAATTACTGACAGTTCAATTAAGTTCCAATGACTCTTTGGACAACATCGGATCAGGGGCGTCGTCGGATCACCAGGCCAGCATTCCAGCAGCCATTCGACAAAAAAAACACAGAACTTTGGGCCTCGCCTTTGCTTCCTTTGAACACTTTCTCGCCATCTTTGAGGCCCAAGTCCTGTTCGCACAGGCCCGGCCACGCCAGGTCAATGGAAAAAAAAGTCACCCACCGGGAAAGCTGCGGGACAGCTGCGTTCAGCTGGGGGGAAATGGCTGAAATTGTTTCTTTTTCGGTTTCTGAGCGCTTGGAGCATCCGGATGACAAACATCCACAAGCAACTACCTCAAAACTACTATGCACGACAACAAGTCAAACGAAACTGGCCGATCTCGTTGCCATCACCTTGACCAGGCTACACCGCCAAGGCTTTCCGTCCCACTTCAGTCTTTGGGTATCCAGAATTTGATGCGGCGCATTACGCAAGAAGGGCATACATTTCAGATCACAAAGATCCGACGGGTCAGGAATTGTCACAAGATACCAATGAAGGTACCAGCTGTCATAAGATACCGGCTGTCTGTGAGATTGTCTATCAATCAAGGTCTTTGCACGTGGTGGCTTTTCACGAGGCTGACTGCACCAACCTTCGGGCAGTTCAACATCCAGGCGCTAAGCACCGGGAAACTGGTCACTACCAGTTGGAGAGCTTCCATCTCCGGAAAAAGTTGCCTATCAGTCTATCTTCTTTGATGTCGGCTAATGGTCACCGAGAGCAATGATGAAGCTGTGAAGTTGCAAATCCTTGCTAGTCATGTATACACAATAGGTGTTAGATCGCTCAACAAAGTGATTATATAAACAGCCATGAAGAACTGAACCATAAAGACCATTATCCAAACGATCTGGTAGCGCCCTTGCTCCTAGTAGCGATGCCCTTTGTTACCAGTAGCTTCTTGTTCCTAGTAGTAGGGCCAGGAGCGCCCCTAGCAGCGTCCGATCGCTCCTAATGAGAATTAAATTGTTTGTCTATCCAAAGCCCGGTGATCCCACTCACCGGTCGCCGTCCTTTCGAGCGACCACTTTTTGCCCTTTGGGGTACCTGGCCGCGGTGGATCGGCGGGTCCATGGTCCACCGCAGGAGGCGACGCACCAACGTAGCTCATCTATTCTACCTACTGGGAAAAAGTGGTCCACCTGAACTGTTCGAGTTGTCATCTACTCTGATTCCACTGTAGTTGTACACAATGGCTTCAATCATGTCAAACTCCTGTCAGGCAACAGTTGGATTATGCCTCCCGCTTGCTGCAACCCATCAATGCTTGCCTGACCTGCTCTTTCGAGGACTGGTGCGGCTTTCCAGCTGAACAATCCATGCTATATAATGCTATATAATATATATATATATACATCGCGGTTCGCAATCTGTGACGTATTCTACTTTTCCTATCACCTGTTCCCCCTTCAGTGACATCACCTATCAAACCTGGGATGCCCCGCATGGGTGTCTGTGGGAGGTGTCCCCACCCATCCCCCCTATGTATGGCACTGCGAATGAAGTCGTTAAGTTCGTCAACCAGCTGGCAACAGAAAGCTATTGTCTCCACTAGGACTGTAATCAAGCATACCCAAGCTGAAATGGAAACCACAGCCCACCAAAAGAATCCATCTCTCCCAGGCGCACCCCATCAGGGCACAATGCTTAATGGGCACATCATGCCGCCTGGATGGCGAGCGAACCGAACGTCGCGTCGTGATTCCCATGGCCGGGCCAAACAGTTTTGTGAACAAACACCAGACATCGAGCACAAAATCTTTGGCAAACTCCCCCCAAATTTTATCAAGTAAACGGTAAAAACATATTCTGTAATTGTATACAATAATGCAGCGATTCATGCACATCAGCCAAGCAATGCTCCTTCTGGAGCAATTCCCACCTGATCTCAACCCTCTGTAACAAACCCAACTGCCCACCCATCACCCCACCGCCCATCATGCCTGTCGATGGCATTGATGTCTTGAAGCGTCACGATGGGATCCATCGGAAGCCCCCCGTGCACCACGAAGATCTCGAGCGGAAGATCAGGCGCCAAGGGGTGCATCTGCTCTAAGGGTGCAAGGAGTTCAGAACCCCTTCACGTCCAAGTGGCTCCTAGCTAATCGGAGCACTCAATAAAAGCCCTTCCATGATGTGGAATGCGGAACGCATGCCAACTGGGGCCAGGCTCTGATTTCCTTAATATCAATTAGATTCTGCGCGCGTGCGCCCTTGACATCCCCCACCTCGTTTCCAATGACGTGGCACAGTGGAAGCCTTACCGAACGACGACCAGCGACTCGCGACTGTCGGCATCTCACAAGCAAATACAACATGCTAACATCTTCGAAATAAGGCCAACCTCCGAAACACCCGTTATCTTCAGCATTGAACACGTGGGATCCACACCGTTAGGTATGGTCAGCGGCGATCCCATGTCTGCCTTTGCCAAGGCGGTGAAACTCAGTCTACCGGTCACCATGTGTCCCAGGGCCACTGATGGTCGATGACAACCGGACTCCTCATTGAAAGCAGAAGCAATACTTGGCTTAGCTGCCTTCGCCAAACTACAAACCTGCTGTGGTTCTCTACAAGCAACGAACACCTCCGACTCTCGAAAGCGGAAGGATCAGCCTCGTTGGGACTCAATTATTGTTGCGGATTTTCTCGATGCACCCTTCAAAACAAATGTTAACGTAAAGACTACCTGAAAAACTTCTAAACATGTTATTCTGCGCCAGGGTTCCCGTCTGCGAGTGTCTAAAACTATATCTAGATCTTCCGCAGGCGTTTACTTCAGCCCGAGTCTGAAAAGGATATTTTTCTGCCTTTTGCACGGAGAAGCGCCTTGCCTATGTTTCCGCCATTTTTGGCTTTGACGATTTGGCTCAACGTAGTACATTCGAAATGCTTAAAAGCTTGATTTTTTAACTAGTGTGACAAGTTGTGTTCAGTCATTTTGTCGCCTTTTTGCCGCGACAATTTGCCTTCCCGAAAAACACAAGTTACATATATATATATATAATGATTCTGAAAACAGAGCATCCCCATCCATCCTCAGATCATTGATCATCCTTGTGACCTTCAAACAAGCTGAAAAAGAAAACGCCCGCAGGCATCTTTTTCTGCCCAAACCTTAAAAAGGCTGATTTTGGGGAACAAACTAATTTTAAAGTGTTTGAAGATCTAGGTAAATATTACATATAGTATTTCCAAAAAAGGTAAACTTGCTCAAAACTTGTTCGCTCCTGAGTTGGATCCATCAGGGACCACCCGGGCCAGGCCCGATCCGGAGCTTCCACTGCAGCTGAGAAGCTCTTTGAAGCTCCGCCTGCACAGGTAGTACCTGAAGCTAGCTCTTGGGTGATGGGGAAACTCATCACAGAAATCGCCAGCAAAAGTTCTCAACTAATGTTTGGTCTATAAAGGTTCTAATAACATATCCTCTAAAAGACCACTGGCATTGGGCCAGCCTGCCTGTGTTCTCAAACATATCCAATCGGCTATTCTACCCAAGTGGCATGGGCAGCGCGTCGGCGCCAAAGGCGCGAGTGCAGTGTGAGTGGACGAAGCCGTTGTCCGGCCTAGATGGCCAGTCTGCTGGGGATCAAAGGCCACGGTGTCTTTTGGTGGAATGAATGGACACAGGATATCTCGTTGTCAAAGTAGCCCAATCGCCTGAAGCCCCAATTTGTTGCTTCCGAACGTGGTCTTCCAGTGCAATAGATTGTAGTAGTATTGATTTGGAGCTTGGTGCAAATGGAACACCTTACAATCTACACAAGCCTGAAATCGCCTGTGAGGAAGTAGATAAACCATGCCAAGCTAAACATGATTCATTAAAACAATCAATTGTCCAACCTGCTTGTTCTCTATACCTGCTTTAACAGCTTTTGTCAGCATTGTAAACGTATCAACTATTTACGTTATTTCTGGCATGTGGTCGATCAAACTTTTAAATCAAAAAGGGTAAAGGCCATTCGAGCCTGTTGTAGAGTTGTGAGCAGGCTTCCCGAAAAAGCACCACGACAAAAGGCCCTTCCCCTGCACTCGTATTCTTGAACAAACATGGGTGGACGGTATGTATTTTCAAGGGCGACAATTGTGGTAAATGTCAAAAGCAAGTCGCCGGTCTTCTGTAATTACAAGATATTACAAGGCCTTTGCCATCATGACCGGCCTAGTATGTGTCGGTTGGGCCACCACGTGTACCGCAGGTACTTTCACTTTCACCCTTCTGATTTCCAGGCAAATTAAACTTCAAAACGGGGGCGTTTAACGACCTCGTCTACCATCAATTGTGTAGCCCGCTGTACCCCAAAAAAAACGATGAACGAACTGATGAAATGCAATAACACAGCTGTAATGAAACATGTCTTTAAAAGAGTCAAGGGCATTTCGAAGGTAAACAGTGATATTCAAGATTCTTGGAAATCCTTTTGATCTTTTTCAAGGGCCCTTTCTCGGCAACCACCCCCTTGTGAATGTTTGGAATCACAGCCAGCCAGACTTTCCCTGAGAGTTGCTACTTAGCTCTTGAAGCTTCTGCCAAGTGGCAATTGGTTTTGTGACTGATCTTCATGGTTCCCGCGATTCAAATAGACCTTGGCTCCATGCTCGGATCCTCTGTGTGTGGCAAAGCCGCACTAACAAACAAATCATATGTACATACATCATCATACATCATATATCTAAAGGCTGCATATTACATCTGTGTTCAAAACATGGGGCCTGTCACTTTCCATCTTTGATCGAGCATCATCTGAGAACTAGGCAACCCATACACTTGAATGCAAAAATGGCCCAGCACGGAGCAGGAACAATGGACATTTGGCCTCTTGAACAGTCCAGTGGATCTTGACCAAGCCGCAGCCGAGGGAGATTTGATCTTCAATGCATACAAGAGCAGAAGAACCTGACGCAGCCACCGCGACTAGGTTCCCTGATGGCAACCTGGTGGCAACCAGCACTCGTCTAGACCCAAAAAGTCTTCAAACTCCTCTGATTTGCCGAATCTTGGCATCATCTCATTTCATCTCCATACACAGTTGCTGACAAAAACCTGCGCTGTCCCCAGGTATTTAGTCTAATTTAGAGGTTTGACTTTGTCGGTGGTTACAAGAACTGGTCATCACTATATATTAATTATATAGCCCCGACAACTCGCAGCTTTGTGCTGGTCCCTCAACAGGGGCAAAGACCGCAACGAGTTGGTTGACACCACAAAACCACCACGTTCTGTCATGTACTAACCCATCCAAACATCATGTACCCATTGCAAAGGGAGGTGGTTCGCTTCGGGTCAAAATGGCTCGTCATTGGGCTGAAGGACCAAGAAACATGTGACTGCCACACCACACATCAAGACCCCCGCAGCCCGCGTCGTGCCCCGACGTGGAGGGACCTGCCTCGGGGCCCCAGGTGCCACGATCCACGAAGTCGCCGTTGAACAAAAAGCGCACCTGGGAGGTGTTCTGCACGCGTCCGCCGTCCGCGGAACAGATCTAATATATATAATAAATCGTGCGAAAAAGAGAGAGAGAAACACACACACACACACACACTCTCGTCTATTCATTGCATATATACATATATATACAATACCCCTTGGTACAACGCGTGGGGGTTGAGAACGCCATTCTATAGCCATAATTTGGTTTACCAACCTCTGGTAGCAAAGTGCCCCACTATAGAATCTAGTTGTCAACCCTTGTAGTGTACGGCATAGTTTCTCTATAGAATAAAGGGGTCAACCTTGAAGGCACTAATGTAACAGAATTGTAGGTTCAAAATCTGAATTATCTAATTGAAACAGCCAGGGTTGGTTTTCATT